ATGCCGTGTCCAAACAAATAAGTGTAAATAAATAAACATGTAAACCAAACTCTAACTGTAATGGAGGAAAAATTCAATACATACAAAATTGGCTTCTACACTTATAAAGCAGAGAAACTCTGCTCAACGTGGACGCCATCATTCCGCCCGCTCACACTTGGCGCTTAATTCTCCAAATCATTACCTGCTGCGTTCACAGATCAGCTCATCCTGATTCCTATTAGACATTTTTCTGCTGTTCATATCTAGATACATTCAGGAGGACTGCTCCACACTCTATGCATCGTGCAGCAGTCACAGTTTATAAATGTCACTCCCCGTCCTATTGGCTCGAGGTGAATTCTCCGGCGAATACCCTGCTGCGTTCTCTCATCAGCTCACTCTGACTTTCTGTTTAAAAAGTCAGAGTGAGGGGTCTGTCAGGAGAAACTACAGGTGAAGTCAGAGTAAATTATTTGGCTGTTTGCGTTCACACATACAGCTCCTCCGGCAAATATCAGGAGTTTTCTGAAAGTGTGAAAGCAATATTAAAGTCAGGAAGAACAGATTTGGATATGTCTGGTGTCAGATGCAGCCCACTCAGACAAGGAGAGTACATTTTCAGTGTGGGTGTGAAAGGAGCTGTCAAAGTCAAATGAATGTGTGTTGGCCTGTGTGAACAGAGGAGCATCATCCCCTCAACCGAAACTGACGCCTCAGCACTTTTTCTGAGCTTGAAATTTTTGTCACCCTGAAGAAAGAAAAAGCCTCAGTCCAGTCTCAGTTGATCCCGCCTCACTTTCTGTGTCAGCAATATTCCAGCATGTTTCCAGCGTGTGGCTGCTCATATTTGGATCATTTGAGGTGGGGGGAAAGCGCAAACACAGGCGTCTCTGTGCTGACCTGCCTCGTCCACTCTGAGAGGTCTTTCAGGTGGACTAAAGCTTTCAGTTGTGAGTCAGGTCTGCACCCACAGAGACTGCTAATGAGCTGAAAGGAGTCACTTTAAGCGATGACTCTATGCACATACACAGAAGGACCAATTTGGGATATGCATAACTCTTATAAAAGAAGGAAATTAACACAATTCTTTACTCTTTGTGAGAAGAAAAGGACCATTCATGGTCGACTTAGCATGGCGACAGTCCTTTGCTGTGTTACATTATTGATTCTGTGAGTCAGCCCAACACCATAGTCATACACCCACAATCCTTTACGACCCAGACCTTACATGTCCATAACTAGAGACTCATTGTGTGCCGTGAATTATAGGTAACCTCACACATAAAGCCTTTATGTATGCAGTATATTTACTCAACACTTTTAACAACCTCAGTGCAGTTTCAGCGGATGATCCTAAAACCTACTGGAAGGTTTCAAGTTCAAGAGGGGTTCAGTTTTTTTTTAAATCTCTGAAAGACAGAATTTCTGCTTCTGACTACTGCAGGAGTGATACAGGAGGATCAGATTATAACACTTAATTATAAGGGCTGTCAGTGTGGATGCATTGATCACCATTAGAATAAGGTCAGACAATAATATATACATTTTAAAAAATTGAATTTAACGTGTGCTATTTTGTCCCTTTAGGAGCACGGTAACGCACCGTATAGCTTAGCCACTGCACCGTCTCCCTGCTGCTGGAGAGATGGAAAAGAACGACATCACTACGGCTCATTTTACTTTAAAAAAAAATCCTACACAGCTCAGTTGACGAATCAAAAGTATTATAATTGTGAACGTTTTTTGCTATTGTTTTTTATTTATTGATAGGAGAGGAAGCAGCTGAATGTTTGGCAGCACTTTGAGTCCAAGACAAATTTACCCAAGAGGACAACAAAGTGTATCATATCGTATCCCCTTGTAGATCAAACATTTCTCTTTTCTTTACCATTCCCTCTCACTGTTTTCACTCTCTTTTCAATCTGTAAAAAGTTACTTTTTCTTCAGTTAAACTAAAGTCGTAACCTTCAATCTAAAACAAGATCCACCAGGAGCCCCATCATGTCTGAGCCTTTCTTCTCTCACGAAATATTCTTAAAAAACATCACGACTTGTATTAAAAACTTTTCAAAAAGCGGCCTCCAAAATCTGACTTTTAAGGTCCCCACAACGATCACAGAAAATCCTTTGACATCCTGAAGGGACTGTGTCATGTTATTTTTTTATGTATATTAATTATTTGCAAGTTCCCACTCTTAAAAATAATTTAAATAAATTACAAAATAGTCATAATCTGCATGGTTTTGAGGCGACATATAGCCTAGCGGTAATGCTGCGCACCCCACGGAGGTTATAGTTGGCCGTGGGTTTGAATCTGGCCTCGTCCCTCTGCTGCATGTCATCCCCTACTCTCTCCTCCCAACATTTCCTGTCTCTCTTCAGCTGTCCTATCTACTGAAGGCCAACAAACAAAACCTTAAAACATTAATAATAATTGGCATGGTTTCAAAAAAAAGAAAGTGTTGATCATACTTCATCAGTTTTTGTTTCTTTAAATGAAAGGGGAGTGTTTATTGTGACTCACAGCACCCGATGGATTCCCCAGACCGGCTTACTTGGACAGTAGGGAAACGTCTTCCTCTTCACTGAATCCTGTTGACGAAGTGCTCGACATCTTAGTGAAGCTGCTGAGCTGCCAACATTAGAAAGTGGTTGTTTCGGCTATAAATCCAAGAATCTATATGCAATAAAAAAGAGTAAAATTAAATCTTGAACATTAAAAGGTTTGTAGGTGTCATGGCCTAAAATGCTCCTTCAGGAATGTGAGCATCTAACAGCTGATTGACATGAATGATGGCGAGTAAACCTGATGTGACCATCCCATCTCCCTCCACAGCTGCTTAATAAACATTGAGTGTGTCTGCAAATAAGCATCAAATTAGACTGAATCGTCTGTTAATACGTTCTCCTTTGAAGATGTGGACGGCGAGTGTGCGTCAGCGAGTGCAGCGAGCACACAGCCAGTATTTACACCTCTGAATAGAGTTAAGTTGGAAGCGGAGAGGAGACACGCCTTTCTCCACCTCAGGCCAACATTAGCATGTTTGACTTTAAATTCAATACACAGACTCATGCAGCACACACATGTGGCAGTGTATACACAAAGTGGAATGGGCATGTGCAAACACGTGCTCACACTGGCATGACTCGTGATTCTTTGCTTTTTTTTATTGGCTGCTTTGCAAAGTGACAAACACCAACACATCAACACTCCTGTAGATCTTTTAGCATAAAAAGTTGACGCTTTCTGAAGCATTATTGCAGAATGTGAAAATATCTGCGTTAGCCCTTTATGTACTTTAAGATAAGCTAACAATGAAAACCAAACCTCCTTCGTGTGTCCAATTAGCTTTTCTATGCCCTCTAATCTGACCTACTGACACGTGCTAACCAAGCAGCTAATAATCTGTTTAGCTTTGTTCACACTTGTCCAAAACCTCTGAAAAACTCCAGAAATGTTCAGGGTAAACTGCATGTGTGAACGCAAACAGCTGAATTTTTCACTCAGTTTCTCCTGCCAGCCTCCTACTATTTTTTCAACCAAAAGTCCGAGTAAGCTGATGTGAGAACGCAGCACAGAATTCACAGAAGCAGGAGAATTCATCTTGAGTGAGCAGAAGGGGCTGGTGACATTTATTCCCTGCCATCCGTGCATGACCAAAGACTGTATGCATGTGTGAAAACGGCTCATTTCAACACATTAATGAAAAACTATTTGACTTCAAACGTTGCAGCTGATTATCAAAGATTCAAAACACTCTTAATCCTTATACTGTTGTAAATATACTGTAAATGCCATTAAGCCACCTGCATGAAGTAAAAAAGATGGAAAACACCTAGCTTGTCTTTAGCTTGACTGCAGGATTTGTTCTGCAGCACTCATCTCTTAAAGGTCACGTTATGCAAAATACTGTTCACCATGTTTCTCTAACACTAATATGTGTCCCTAGTTAGTCTACAAACCCCCCAATGACGAGAAAAGTCCATCCTCTGCATCTTTTGCCTGCTCCACTTTTCAGAAAATGTGTGCTCAAACAGGCCATTTTGAGATTTTCCCTTCATGACATCACAAAGGGCAGTAACCCCTCCCACAGCTAGGTGTTTGTTCTGCCCTCTGAGTCTGCCTTCACACTGTAAACAATAGGGCATGGAGCGAGAAAGCACTGAGTACACCCAAGCCTTTTCACGGGGGTGTTGTCAGAAACAGCTCATTTTCATATTTAAAGCTACAGACACAGAAACAGCCTGTTCTGAGCAGGGCTGAAATAGACGGGTTTATAGGCATGATCAAATACAGGATCAGAGTGGATTTAGAACAAGAAACTTTACACACATGTTTTGAGGAGCTCTGAGACTTATTTAAACTGGTTGAAATGGAGGATAATATTTGACCTTTAACCCTATAATGCCTGACCCAAGAAATAATGGACAGAAAATTCTAATATTTTGAATATGAAGAAGGTATACATTTGGGTCTTCCTTTAAACACAGTTAACATATTCTTCTAACAATGACCAGTTTTAAAGTCCTAACATCCATTTGAATGGCAGAAAAATGCCAACAAGCTCTACAATCTCCTCTATTGTCAGATCTTTGGTGAGCGCCAAGGCGCACCAAACCACATTCCTACATAATGTTGCTTTCATTTTTTCACTTTTATTTTTAAAGATTAAAAATATGCATATTATTGTATGAATACCTAACTATGAATGTATATGAATTACATGGCTAGTTTGTTGTATTTTGGGTTTATAGCAGCATGTGACCTAGTTCAAAAGGTTTTGAATAAAATGTAAGAAACTCTGATATCATGTGTATAGTCCAGGAGTAGCACAGGTTCCTTTTTTTCTTTCTTCTGAACTTCAGCTCTGATATTCAAGGCTGTTTGTATGACCTCACCACCTGGCAGGAAAGAACCACATCTCTCTCTCCCCTCTCTCTCTCTCTCTCTCTCTCTCTCTCTTTCCAACATCTAAATGTGTGCTGGAGTTTGAATAAAGCTTCTTTCTGCTCTCCTACGCAGGCAGGAGTGAGAGGCCCCTGGAGTCGCTGGCACCGGGAGCTTTGGAGCATCAACGGTACGTTTACGTCTCACTGCTGGAGCCCTGAACAAGGAATATTTGTGAAAAGGGGAAAAAAAACTCTTCATCCTCAGGTGTTTGGTGGAGGTAATGTACTGATGCTGGAAGAAGATAATGCTTTCTATCTCAATATTGGGCTGCTCTTTGGAAAGTTAACCATAACTCGTAGAAATCACAGCCAAGAGAACTTAAGCGTGATAAGATCCTTGGTGAAAAATTTAGGTCAGATTCTGTGCTCAGTGTGCAGTGGGAGGTTTGAATTTCAGAGGTTTTACTGAGTTGACTTCATTGAGGAGTGAATGGAGTCGTTTGTGTTTGATTTGTTGCTTTGACATTGCTGCTCTGTGTTGTGTTTTCTAAGGTGATTTTCAAATGTTTAATCTGTCTAAAAAGGGTTTGAAAGATCTGGAAATTAAATTAAGAATAAGGACATTTATATGAATTGATTATTTCACATCCGGGATGTCTTCCCTGCGTGAAGAGAATCAATGAACTTGCATCACATTACTGAATGATCAAATATCAAGTCTCCTTACGGCAGTGCTCACATGAGTTTGACTCTTATTTGTGGTTAAAATCTTGATGGCGTATGACCATCAGCAGGCAATTTTCTTCCTTCGTCATTTATTTTTTTTCTTTCAAAATTATATTTTTTGAGAAATGTTTGCCTTTATGGGACAGGACAGCTGAAGAGAGGGAGAGCAAAATGTTTGGAGGTGAAAGTTGAGGGATGACATGCAACAAAGGGCCAAGGTCGGATTCTAACCCATGGCTGCTGCAATGAGGACTGCAGCCTCTGTAAGAGGCACGCATGGCATTACCGCTAGGCACTCCGGCACCCCTTTTTTTCATTATTTCTGAATCTGTTTTAGAGCCCTGAAATGTTAAAAAAGTCACAAAAGACAAGAGGAAAGTCTGGAAAAAATTGGCGGGAATATGTTTTTAATTTTTTTCAAATAATCTTGTATATCCGGAGATTTCTATCATGATTCATTGAAATAATCTGACATTTGTTGGGAACCACTGATGACACAATATGCATTTGTGTTGACATTTTTTCAAGATTTTATTGTTGGCTTTTGCCTTTATTTTATTTAAATGTATGCCAATATTTAAACCTCATACATCTTTAAGGTTCCCCTTATTAAGAAAGATGTTGAGATACAGAAAAAACACAATTTAACAGACCAAAAAAAGGAAAATACTTTGAGACACAAGAGAAATTAAAGTGTTGACCTTCAGAGTAAATTGTGAATAACTCCTCATATTTGGAGTTCGAGTTAACCCACAGATCTTATTGGAAAGCAGAGTGAAAGACAGGTGAAACAGGAGTGAGGATAACATGCAACAAAGACCTAAAGGTTGGAGTCAGACCCAGATTCGCTTTGACAGAGGTCAGAGCCTCTGTGTGCGGGACGAGTGCTCTACTCACTGAGCTAAACTGGCATCCCAATATTCACAACATTTATGTACAGTGCATGATGCTAATTTTAAACATGTACAGCCCTATAACTCTCTTGTATGATCAGCTTTACAAATGTTTTAAATTAAACAGGAGAATGATTTCTTCAAAAGCTTTTGATTCTAATCACTATTTCTTATTGCAAGATTAAAAAAAAAAACTAAAAACAAGAGTGACCTCCTGATTGTTTGGCGACATCAGGCCGTGTTAGGACACGTTATGATTCATCAAAAAGGAAATGGGACAAAGGAATCCATTATAGCAGAAATCTTCAATTAAGCCTTTAGAAGGATCTTAATTGACATTTGGCACCTGAGATGGTTTTTTAGAGACTTCAACCACATTTGATATGTTTGATATTTGACATTTAAACTAATGTGCGTCTTTCTAAAGCATGCCTTTGAGTATGAAGGCGTGTACTAATGCACCTACAAACAACTGTGAATATGAATGTTTCCACTTTACTGTACATGGGTGTGTGTTTATTTGTGGATGTGTGTGTGTGTCGTTAAACACAGGCCTTACAGTAAGTGCTATTACTGACACATGCACACACACACACTGCAGAGCGTTTTCTCTCCCAGGAGCTTCAGACGTGATCTCTGTGTGTACGTGTTTGTGTGTGTAAGGTATCAATGTCAACTCTGTTCCTCTGCTGAGGGTCTCTGGAGCTTTGGAGGAGAGTGTGTGGAGGTGGGAGGTGGTGAGGGGGGGGTCAAGGGAAGGGGGGCTCCTCTGGATGCCAAGCTTGTGTTTACCTTGGCAGGTCTGCACCCCACCCCCCCACCCCCTCCCTAAAAGTCCCTGCTCCTGTCCGTTGTTGGAACAGACCAAGGCCTTATAGCGCCCTTCCTCAGCTGGGAGCAGGAACATACCACAGTGACCAAACAGGGGAGCAGCAGCCGCCCCTCTGACTGAATGAACACACTGTGGAGAGGGGGTCTGGTATAAAAAAACAAACAAACTATGAAGTGGCCACAGTTTAAATGATGCATTTAAAGAGAGACACATTTCTTCTCAATTATCGGACAGTAGGCAGTGAGGAGTTGAGAATTTGGTATTTGCTTGTGTTCTCTGTGTTTAAGAAACATACAAAATCCCCCTAACAACCTAAATATCCTGCAGAATTAATGTTGGTAAGTGCAGCCCAAAAAATGTTTGATAAACCCTAAAAGTTTAAAGTATAATTGTGGGTATGTTAGGATTACCTTTGATACTTGGTGAAAAGTTTGTAACATCATGACATAAATACGGCTGGCTCTCTATGACCTACTAAAACAAAAGAGGCCATCAGGCAGAATGTCATATTTCTGTGCAGTAACTTGAAAAAGCCCCCTTACACATTGTCAGTTCAAAGCGGGATATTTACGCCTCATTTGCAGTGTGTGACCCACCGAGGCATAATGGTGGGGTGAGGTTGTCCTGCCCCTGATTTGCCTTCAGTTGCCTAACAGAGACGGAAAAGAGGCGAGGGTGTGGAAATGTGTAACATCGGAGCCAGCAGGGCGGAACAGTGCTGTGGTTGTGTCTTCACTGTTCCATTAAGTTTGAAGAAAAACACAGAAAAAGTCAGATGGAATATAAAGTCAAAAGTTCCAAAAGTCATAAAAAGACAGTTGGCAACATTTGGGAAAGTCTGACTGAACTCGAACAACAGAGTGCAATATTGCAGCTTCGATGTGTCCATCCATCTTCATATTTTTTGTTTCCGCCAAAACTGGGCCAACATTCAGTTGCAGACAGATCTTAGACAGAAGGGCAAATATTAGTCCTACCATACTGTATGTCCTGGATCTGTGGAACTCTGAGAATGCTAGCAGACCACGCACGCACGCGCGCACACACACACACACACACACACACACACACACACACTTACTCATGTGAGGCGTTTGCCCAGAGTTGTTCTGGCTTCTTCCACTCTGTTAAAGTAAAGAAATGATTGTTTTTTAAGCTGAGTCACTCGTTCTTAAAAGGTCGCTGCATTTACTCTTTTGGCTTTTTTTATGTTGGACTGGAGTTTCCAGTCGTTGATATTAAACAATATTTATGGTCGGATTTGTCTTTAGACGAGGGTAGAAACCCACCAAAAGGAATATTTTCACTGAGTGAGCTGTATAATCAATCCTCTGTGTGAGTTAGTGACTCTGCATTGATAACTTGAATTTCAACAGAAATGTACAGGAGAAAGACTACATACAAGCACGTTCACACATGCACCTTTCACCTGAAAATGTCCTGAGATCGTTCAACTGGGGTTCAATAGTGAACGCAAATGTCTGAATTCATTAACCCAGACTTTTTTAAATATATTTTTGGGGCTTTTTATGTCTTTATTTTAGAGATAAGAAAGCGGATAGAGAGAGAGAGAGAGAGAGAGAGAGAGAGAGTGGGGAATGACATGCGGGAAAGGAGCCACAGGTCAGATTCAAACCTGAGTCGCCCGCTTGGAGGACCATCCTCCAGATGTCATTCTCCTCGTCTTGCATGCTCTATCAAGGCCCCCTTTACCTCAGCAAACCTGACAGACTATTTCAAGTTGAAATTTGTGAAAGGGCAAAAATAATAAAAAGATATTATCAGAACCTGAATATCTGGAAACTGTCCCGAGTTTTTATTGTAAGGGTCTTCAGAGTTTATAGCCAACCTGCTGGTGATGTTAGCAATAGAAAGCTTACTTGCTACCACTAACAATGCTTACATACTGATGTTAAACAAGAATAATATGCTTACAAATTAGTTTAGCATGTTAGCATTAGTAGTAATCACAAAGTACACCTGATGCTGGTGCTAATAACACCAGATTAGGTTCGTCACGTCCGGGAGCTATGGTGGATACCCTAAGAGGCTTCCCTAAACTGATCAAAAACGTTCAACATCACCTGATTCAGAATCTTCATTCCAATATAACTAATGAATAATAGACAAATTGCATCCTGATGATGTAGTGGGCATTGCTCGTGAATCGGTGTTCATTGTTGGAGCAACCAACTTTGCCATTCCCCAGAGCTACTGTATGTCACTAAAATAACTAAACTGAGGTCTCAGATTCAAAGTAGCTATTATTTAAAAGCACATATTAGTTCACAATTAATGATTTTCGGATTAAAGTGTGGCACGAAAAGACACTCTCATCGGCCAGAAAACAGATATAGAGAAAAGAAATACAGTTCATACAAGTGGTTTAGGTTAATTTTATACAAAGCACAAAGAGACAAAGATGCTTTTTGAAAGGACATTTTGAAAGATGGAAAAACTGCCTCAGTTCATTATTTTATGCACGAGTGTTAAACAAATGGAAAAGCATTTGAGATGAATGAATCACACTCCTTCGTCTCCGCCTGAAGTTATTTTAGTGCTGAAGACATTTCCTGTTCCCAGAGACAGAGGGGCTTTGATTCCTCAGTGGGTATGTTTGGTATTTCTAAATGATACTGGCGACTTTTGACGGTCTATTTCCATTTTGGCTAGTAGGTCTGACGTAACAACCAAACACACTGAATATCCTGAATCCCGTGGAATATGTCTGTAAGTGTACAGGAGCTAGGAAAAAACACAGTAGCATTCATAAGCAAAGGAAATGATCATAAACCCTCCTACTCATTTTAACACTTACTTTACTGTTCATGCTGTGTGCACTTCTGGTAAAGAGAAGTCAGAATTTCAGTCCATCCCAGCACACACTTCAGATTTGTTCAATTATTTACAACAAAAAAAAGAATTTTAAACATAAAAATGACATTTTTGGGTCTTGTTATACCTTGTAATTGAGCAAATTGGGGGCAAAGTAAGCGCCACCATTCCCATGCTAGTCCTTTCTGTCATTAATGATTTTGTTCAACATGTTTAACACCAGTGTTGGGGTATTTGGATATTTTTCAGGTAACCATGACCCTCCTGCTTCTGCTGTGTGTGTCCTTGCCCATCATCTCGGCAACAATATTGCTTGAAAAACACGATGGTAAGTTTTTTTTTATTGAACAGTTCCTCATTCTCATCATCAGTGTGTAATCTTCAAATACCTTTCAGACCCATGAGAAAACTTGCTAAGTTGTGCAATGGAAAGTATTCATCAGTCTTCGTTAATATATTCTGTGATATATCTTCTAAAGGCATTGGCTTTAGTGACCAAGTTTTTATGTCTTAAGTGTAGAGATTGTAGTTTCTTTCTGTCATTTTTTGAGCCCATTCTTTGCAAGTCATTTCCAAAAACATAGGATTCCCCCAAGCAGCATCAGAACATATTACTCTGAGTAAGCTTTTGGAAAACTTCAAGAAAGTTCTTAAATGTAGTCTCTACCAATATTCACAATTGTGCAAAAATCTAGTCTAAGTTAACCCTAACTGGTCTTACCCTAGACTTGGATGGCACGTTGCGTGTCAGTATTCCAATGGAGATGCCTCTCCGCCCTCTGCTCGGCAGCAAGGTAGTGGTACCGTGCTACTTTCAGGACAGCACTGTCAACGACCCCGGAGCTCCAACCATTGCCCCACTATCCCACCGCATTAAATGGACCTACGTCACCAAGGAGAAAGTCACCACCATCCTGGTGGCGTCAGAGGGAAAAGTCCAAGTGGAGACTGAGTATTTGGACAGAGTGACGATGATCAACTACCCACTGGTGTCCACTGATGCCACCTTAGAGATAACAGAGCTCAGGTCCAAAGATTCTGGCACCTACCGCTGTGAGGTGATGCACGGCATTGAGGACAACTATGACACTGTGGACATTCAGGTTCAAGGTATGTATGGAAATAAGCTACCAACAGAAGAAATAAGTGTTGTTTGAAAAGGACTCTTCAAAATAGGCAAAAAATATAAGAAATATTCCACAGCTTTTCTTTTTTCCGACTACTTTCTGTACAGGTATTGTGTTCCACTACCGAGCCATCTCCACCCGCTACACCCTGACCTTTGAGAAAGCTAAAGCAGCGTGTATCCAGAACAGTGCCACGATTGCCACTCCAGCCCAGCTCCAGGCTGCTTATGATGATGGATACCACCAGTGTGATGCTGGATGGCTATCGGATCAGACCGTCAGGTAGTGTCCATCTAAATTATTGTCCATCTACATTAAGCATTTCCAGCATTTAAGAGGCAGATATCTTTTTTGTTGTTGTTGGTTTGGCCCTATATACGTATAAATTAATGAATTAATGCTGTCCCATTCAGAGGGTATTGTACTTTCGGAGATGATACAGTAGGACAGTCCAATATGACAGTGCTAATATAAAAACATGCCTTTTATGCACCAACAGACTTGCAATAATTAACACAGTAAAATAACTGATGTTGGTGTCTTCTGACTAACATCTATCTTGACATTTCAAGGTACCCTATCCAGGAGCCCCGCGAGCGTTGCTATGGAGACAAGGAGACATTCCCTGGTGTGAGAACCTATGGTGTGAGAGATGTAAATGAGACCTACGACGTCTACTGTTTTGCTGAGAAGATGTCAGGTAGGCTCATCTATCAAGTATAGCACCACAGATGAACAAAACATTTCCACCACTCAGGAGTCCACTGTTTTTGAACTCCCTCCTCTCTCCTCCCAGGCAGAGTCTTCTACTCCATGTCTGTGGAGAAGTTTACCTTCTATGAAGCTGGGGATCAGTGTGCCAAACTTGATGCACGCCTTGCCACTACTGGAGAACTTTACCTGGCCTGGCAGGCTGGCATGGATGTGTGTAACGCTGGCTGGCTGGGAGACAGGAGTGTACGTTACCCCATCAACATAGCCAGACCTCAATGTGGAGGCGGGCTCCTTGGAGTGAGAACCGTCTACCTGTTCCCCAACCAGACAGGATACCCCTACCCAGACTCCCGCTATGATGCCATCTGCTTCCAAGGTAAATTCCTCATGGACACATACTCCCGAAAAAAATGGAATACCAGTTTGTGATGGTCAGTGTATTTATGGACGTATCTGTGTGAAACATCAATTTCATCAAGCACTTGTGCAATTTGGTTTGCTCAGCTGGTGAGGATGAAGGTACCGTGCCAGTGAAGACCACCCCTTTCCCAGACATCATTCCCCTGACACCTGCCTCAGGAGTTTACCCAGGTATCATTCCCACTCCCAGGGGTGAGGAGATCAAGGGTGGTGAAGTTGACACCCTGTCCCCACTGCCTGTCCCACCAAGTGTGACCGACACATTTACCAAAGTGACTCCTGTTGTACCTGAGCCTGGACTTGGACTGACAGACATATATGCTGCCATGGCTCCCACAGGTAAGCTGGTTATGAACTTGATTATTGAGACCACTTTGTTGAAGATGTATATAAGCTTTAAGAATTCACCTTAAAGAATTACAATACAACATCACAACTGGAAAAAGTTGTTCCCTCTGTCCTACTATCTTTCATTTCTTCCTGCTTTCACATTTCACAGGTGTGGTGTTCCATTACCGACCCATCACTGGTCGCTACACCCTGTCCTTTTTGGAGGCTGCCAGAGCCTGCCAGAGTATTGGAGCAATCATTGCCAGTCCTCAGCAGCTACAGGCAGCCTTTGAGAAAGGCTTGCACCAATGTGATGCTGGCTGGCTCCGTGACCAGACAGTCAGGTGAGAAAGAGGCATGTGTATAATAGAGATACATCACATATATCAATATGAAGGAAACATCAGCAACATCGCAATTCTAACAAAACATTTCCCTTTTTGTTTCGATTCAGGGGTTTGTACAGTAGTGATAACATTTTAAATCATTGAAATAAAACGATAAACTGTACCAACATTCTCTTTATTTCACAGGTATCCCATTGTATCACCAAGAGATAATTGTAATGGTAATCTGCCCACCTACCTGGAGTCAGATCCTACGGGCTGAGGCCAGCTAGTGAACTTTACGATGTATTTTGTTATGTGGAACGTCTTCAAGGTGAGGAGCCCAATCATGGTGGATTACAGAAAGCTGTCTAGCGACATACCTATCCACTGATCCAAAGTCCTCTAAATGTTGGTAAATACCTCTGTGATTCTTTTAGGTGAGGTCTTCTTTACCAGTGACTACGACAGCTTTTCCTATGAGGAGGCTGTGCAGCACTGTCAGAAACTCAACACCACCTTGGCAAACACTGGGCAGATCTATGCTGCTTGGAACCAAGGCCTTGACAAGTGTCGTCCAGGCTGGTTGATGGATCGCAGCGTGCGCTACCCAATCACAACCCCCAGGTCCCACTGTGGAGGCGGGCAGGTTGGAGTCCACATTATCTACGCCTACCCCAACCAGACAGGATTTCCTGATGAGCATTCACGCTATGACGCCTATTGTTTCAAAGGTAGGAAAGGATTAGGTGAGTTACATATACATTTTAATGTGAAACAAAAAACCTCTTGTAAATAAAACAGTGACATAGAGAAGAAAATTATGCTTAATGGCAAAACTGATTCTGTTTGGTGTAAGATTCAAAATCACCCACTTGATATGACACGTGGAAACTCTTGTCATTCTGGCATTGCTAGGCAACACTTGTTGAAGAAGAGGTAGCAAGCTAGGTAAAATGGTAGAAATAGTTGGCTGAAAGTAACAGACAAATTGTTGAAATCTCTCACGAAAGGTAAAACATACAGCTTCCGTCAAGTAGTATGACTACAAACTTGACTATAAACATAACTTGTTGTTTGATTATATTGCACTTATTCCCATTCATACTTACTCATGCTTAACAATGGGGGCATAACACTGATGTGTAGATCAACTAATATAATTTTATTTACAAGTAGGTACTTAGCTAAAGTCATATGATATGGGGTTGAAGTGGTAAGCCCAAAGTGATTAAAAAATGGTTGAACCTAGTTGGATATGAATAATAAGAAATTGTTTACGTACATAATAACATTTAGTTTTATCAAAAATATTCTCACCACATCAATTTCTATAATGTTTGGTAGCATACCGAATGCTGCCTACATCAAAGTTACTTCTATTTCTGTAATCTGGCTCATTTTGTCCCTATCTCATTTGTCTCTTTCAGCCGATAGTACTGTTGTACATGTTGAAACAGAAACCATTGTGAATGTGACAACAATGACAGTAGATGTCATCGACAAGACCACAGCCGTCACAATTGATCATGTGGCTCCCACTGGTAACACGCATGAAATCTGCTCTTTTAAGTCCTTGTCATGACTTTGGCCTGATCTTGTTGTCCAATATCATTATCAAAATATATAGTCCATGTTTTGCCAAATCTAATTTCTGTATGTTTTGTTTGTTTCAGTTGAAACTACAGTGCATACTACAGTGCATTACAATGAAACTCAAACTAGTGTAAATATTACTGGTATAGAGGAGTTTATCAACGAGACGACCATCACAACTCAGCAAGCTGTTCCTACTGGTAAGGGGGCTGGAAATAACTGTGTACGAAGTTTTATTGCTTTAACTTTTAGAGGAATATAGCTATTAAAATGTATTCCGCTTTTTGCAAAACATGCAATAGTTTTATTTAAATCAATTAACTAAACACAATATCTAAATTTGCTGAACATGATGTTACAATACATGTAATTGTTTTTGCTTGGATTCTTAATATTTCCGCCAGTGAAAACAATTTTACCTCCAATCCATGTTGATGAATCTGGCTCTGGTTCAGCCGATCATTCAACCAGTGGCCAGATCTCAGGAGAGTCCAGCACCTCCAGTGCCAGTGGAGACGCCTCTGGATCAGGACAGAATGTCATCTTCAGTGGACAAACAGACATCTTCTCTGGAGAACCATCTGCTTCTGGAGGCCCACAAGAGGCCGAAGGAGGAAGTTCTGTCATCTTCACATCTGGAGAACATGGTAGTGCCTCTGGATCAGGGGAGAGGCTGGACGGAAGGCATTCTGGCTTTGGTGTTTCAGGATCAGGTTTCACAAGTGGAAGTGGAGACATCTTCAGTAGCAGTGGAGACACAATGATCATCATGGTGGATGGGAGGACAGTGGAAGTGCCAAGAACTCAGAAAAACCCCACTGAGCAAGAGTTAGGTCATGGAGGCATTGATTCCAGTGGGACCTTCTTGGAATCAAGCATGTCAGGATCGGGAGATATTTCTGGGTCTGGCTCTGGTGGATTTTCTGGCATCTCATTTATAGACCACAGTGCTGTTGATCTCACTGTTCAGGCATCTGGTGAGCAGGAGGTGTCTGGATATCGACCCTTCCACAGCGGCTTCCCAAGTGGTTTTCCATCTGGTGTCTCAAGTAGCGGCTCAGCCTCTGGGGACTCTGTCCAGTACCGTGGAGATGTCGTCTACATTACAGACATTGATTTGATGGAAGTGACTGTAGCCCCACAGGTTAGCCACCCTCAGCAAGGAAGAGGGGAGGTGGAGGTAAGCGGGGAAGGAAGTGGGTCAGGGATCCATCATGAATTCAGTGGTACTTTGGACCAAAGACTGCATCAGTCAGGAAGTGGTGACCAGGTGACCTACACTGACTCCGTGACTCCCGACTCAGCCTACACCAGCCCAACCACAACACCATCAGTGTCATTAGCAACCCCTTCTGTTGTTGAGCAGCCTGAAGTCGTGGAAGGTATATGATTTAGATGTTTAATTCACTGACATACTATATAACTAGACTAAAACTTCCATGGTGGCATGCGCTACATTTTTTAAATAAACAGATTTGTCCACCTGAGTATCTTAAGACATATTCATGTGTGTCAGTACCACTAATAAACTGGAACTACACCATACAAAATTGACAAAGTACTGTCTCTTTCTCTCTGATATTAGTCTCTGCAGATCCCTGTGAACCAAACCCCTGCAGATCAGGAACCTGCATTGTGCAGGGAGACGTTGCTGTTTGTCAGTGTCCCACTGGTTTCACTGGCGAAGACTGCTCCACACGTGAGTCAACCATAACAAACTGCACATTGCACACAGGAGAATTAGCATACAAATAATAAAATGTCATAATTTACCTGGATGTGACTGTTTCTTTCCCTAGATGTGCAGGGCTGTGCCGAGGGCTGGTTGGAGTTTATGGGCAGCTGTTACCTCCACTTTTCGGAGAGAGACACCTGGTCCGAGGCTGAGCAGCGCTGTCAGGAGCTTAACTCCCACCTGGTTAGCGTCGGCTCTCAGGAGGAGCAGCAGTTTGTCAATTGTGAGTAGCTGTGTGTGTCAGTGTGCTTTTAAACTTTTAAAGGCAGTTAATGCTTTAAGAGCCTTAAGATGTTTTTTTAAAAGCCTATTAATGCTAATGCTTGTCAAGTTATGATGAATTGAAACTTGCCAGTTTGTGGGTGGGTAGCCAGTGAGGATCATCAAGTGGGTGGTAGAGTAGGGGGAGGTTTACACAGTGTAGACTTGTGGTTATGGTATTAATCTATATAATAAAAAGGAATGCAATGCGGGAGAACTTGCTTTCCAAGTATTTTCATTGAGCCTTGCAGGAGGGATGAAGCTTGATACTACAATAGCCTTTTGATGGATGGAAACATAATAGAAAGAAGAGCAATATACATGTTTCTTTAAAGCTTAAATCTGTCCTAATTTATATACAGCCAATGGTCAGGACTACCAGTGGATTGGACTCAACGACAAAGATGTGCAGAATGAGTTCCGCTGGACAGATGGCAGTCCTTTGGTGAGTTTATTTGGACACGCCCAGAAAGCTACTGCAAGGTCTGTGACACATTACAAAAGATGATCACACCAAAAACACTCTTTCATCTTGTTCCGCTAGCTCCCTGTTTGTTTGTTTTTAATGTAAATCATAATTCTGGTTCTCACTAACAGACCTCTGGGCTCTCTCTGGGTTCCATATCCAAGACAAGAGTTTAGGTCCTCAACAATGACATTATTTAAAACACAAGGATGTAATTTGTCCAATCGTTTTTTTTTAAGAAGCTAAAATATACCCTTTTATATACAATCTTCTTGTATTTTTTATTTGGGGTTGTATAGTTGTCCTGGAAGGTGCCATATAATTAAACATCTTTTACTGTTCTTAGACCTTTGAGAATTGGAGGCCCAACCAGCCAGATAATTACTTCAACTCAGGGGAGGATTGTGTGGTGATGATCTGGCACGAGGGTGGACAGTGGAATGACGTGCCCTGCAACTACCACCTTCCCTTCACCTGCAAGACTGGTCCAGGTAGGCTTATTGGTTTGGAATAAATCCTGAACAAAAAGTTGTCCTGGGAATTCTTTTTGATGGAAAAATTGAAGGAAATGTGGTACAGTGGTTTACTATAAATTGTGTTTTTTTGTGGTTGAAGACAATCTCAGTCAGAAATCAGACATCACCACCACTCCACCTACGTATTCTGAAATTTACAGGACATCTCCAAGACCTCTTGGACTGAACCATGACACAAAAACTATAATCTTGATTTTTATTTTTTATTCTTCTTTCTTCTCAAGTTATGTGCAGAGCACCTCCTGAGGTGGAACATGGCCATCCAATGGGCAGCAGCAGAGAGCACTATGCGGTCAACTCTATAGTCCGCTACCAGTGTGATGCAGGCTACACACAGCGACACCTGCCTATCATACGATGTATGCCAGATGGACAGTGGGAGGAGCCCCAAGTGGAGTGTACAGAAGGTAATTTTCAATGGAAATGCTGAAATATGGATTTACTGATATATTGTTTAAAGGAAAGTGAAGCTCTTTTAAAACTTAAAACAAAGTACTCGATTCCCTCAAGAGGCAAAGATTCATGTTAAGTTAACTAATCAATTTTTTCCTCCTTTCATAAGTTCTCTGTGATTGTCACATATGAATTGCACATTACATTCAGGAATCAGATTTGATTGGCACTGGCTATGTTTTAGACAGTGCTTGTTTTACCTGGTTTTTAGGTTTAGTTTTTACATTTGTATTGATAATTGATATTTATTTCTGGTACACCTTCAGGAAATTGCTATCTGTCTTCTAGTAATTATACTCAAATGGATTAAACATCACTATGTCTGTGACTCCCAACATAACTGTTAGGTCATAAACTGTAGCCATACATCACACAATAGATGCCATGAGTTTGTTAGCATAACATAAGCTAACATAACGCAAACTCAGAATTAATGCCTTTTCCTCTGTAGCTGACCCTTTAGTTTTTTTCTGGCAATCAATCTTGCTCGATAGGATATCAAATGTGTGGTCTTAACTTAAGATATACGACCAGATTCCCTCTCTGTTGTTAAAGCAAATCCTTTATTTCAAGACGATACAATTTAAAATAATTTTCAGATACCATTAATCTACAATTACAAGCTGAGAAACGGCAGTTTTACATTTTGACGTCACAGGAAATTGGCTGCTGTTGGAATTTGGTCATTAGCCAGTTGACTTGATCATTTAGCCACAACAGTCACTTCAATTTTAAGCATAAGGCTTTAAGCAACACACTGTGTATGATTTCATCAGTATGCTTAACTTTTCTTCCTCAGCTGGTGCCAACAGCAACAGGCTACACAAAAGATCCCTCAGGAGGAGAAGTAAAGGTGTCAGCAGCCAACAGGAACAGAGGAAGCAGCACTGAGCGGGAATGAAAGGACACACTGCAGAGAGCCACAAAGGACCCCTCTTGAAAAGAGGCATGGACACCAATGCAAATGCCCTACCAAAAAGATAATATTCCTCCCCATGTATATACACACACACACACACACACACTTTAAAGCACATTTAGACAGTAGTAGAGTAATTAACAGAAATTGTGTTTCTTTGAGTGTCACTCTAAATCTTCTAGAGACACTTTTCTATATATTTATACTCTCTTATTTATAGCTGTGACCCAGTATTTGGAAGAATTACCTGAATGCACAAACTTTCTGCAATTAGCTGCCAGCACTGCAAAACAAAGTAATGTAGATAAAGCTGTAAGATGGGGATATAAGAAGCTTTAGAGTGACACCTAAAGTCCATGAAACAGCCCAATAAGAGTATGTGTCCATTAATTGCCTTTTTTTTTGAGCTGGCAGCACTCATGACCATAATTTGAGAGTGCTTCTCACAGACGCTTATTGTTGCAAGGGTACGAAAGTTGGCTCACCACACTCTCCTCGGTAGTGACACTAATGTCAATTTTGTAATTGCTCCATATGCTTAATATTTGGATTTATTAAAGGACATTTCATCGACATAAAAACAATGTAAGGCAATAATGTCCTGGCATGAGCAGCATCTTTACATCTGGAAGTTGTACCTGTGAAAAGAAGGCTCGGATTAGTCCGAGCCTTCTTTTCACAGGTGATTGTGCTCTTCCATGTGATGATGGTAATGGAAAGCCAAGTTTAAGAGAGGATTTGTAACAAACCTGGATCGAAGTAGTCAGCACTCAGGCACTTTTGGGAGCATTCAGTAACTTCTGTGCTAATCATCTGAATCCAGTGCACCTTATAAAAACAATCACACACACACACAACTAGGACAGTGCAGAAGACCAATACATTGGGATAACTGTTGCAAAGTAAGTGCACCAAGTTTGGCAGGTTCAGTTTTATGTTTAGGGCTTCTTAAGCGCAATCAATGAACTCTGAGAATTATGCTAAAATGTTGCTTTTATAAGATTTAGATTAACGGAATGGATTAGTTTCTCACTGTAAATATTTTCTCTACAATTCTCTGAACAGCAGGATCTGTCAAAACCTTTTGCAGAGCAGACAGTCGTTTGATTTATCATCAACCTGTTTGTTGATTTGTTAGTCTTAATAACTGGTAAGGTGCAGTTATGCGTTGTTTATTAAGTGGGTGTGACCGCAAGCTGAACTTTAAAAGAACACAAACTGATTTTTCAGGAGTTTTTGTGGAGGTTTCTGGCTGTTCCTCGTGTGACAGGGTCAAATAAACAGAAAAGTATGTCTTGAAACTTGTGAAATGAAACAATTTTAAGGAAAAGAAACTGTGAAAGCAGTAGAAATTTATATAAATGATGAGAAAGATAGAGAAGGTAGAGGTGGAAGAGGAGATTATAAAATGTTGACCATGAGGTCAAGATTTGCTTCAACTTTAGAGCAGATACTAGTGTCCATATCTGACTTCCACGGATGAGTCATACACTCTGACACAGCCAAAAACACACATCAGTTAACACACAACAGAAAATGAAAGACGATGATGAGTGAGTCTGGCAAAGCTGTGAAGTGAAACACACAGCTTGCACAAAGATTTGAACATTTTATACAAGAAAAAAGTTGAATTAAGACACTTTGGGATGCTATGGGTGTGTCAATGAATATTTCAAAGTCTATTTCACATCAGGATACGCTCACGTTTCAGTATAACAAAAACAAAATCTAAGGGATTAGGCAAGGAACAGTTTTTAATAACCAGCCGAATCGGTGAAAGTAGTCGTCTGTATCAGGGTTTGTGACCTTGGGACTCTGTTACAAACGGAGCTTTCAGCAAATCTTTCGACAATAAACCAAAATATGTGTAACATTTCACACCTCTGTTATGACTCTGTTCAGATCCCGAAACCTGATGTGTGAACATACAGTATTCTGTGCTGTGCCAAATAAAACTTGGAATCATCTGTCTCTGTTACATTATTGTCCTTTAGTGTAAAGATATCAATCCATTGACATTGAAAGCAGCTGTACAGGTCACTCTGTGCTTCATGTTATCTTTCTTGTAAAAATCACAAACTGATTTTTCTGCTGGTTTTGAAAGTCGTCCTAACCCAGAGCTGTTAAATCTGAGGTAAACGCTCTGAGGCAAGGGGAACAGAACTGGCTTTTAGTTTGTTTTTACCTTCCTGTGGAACCCAGCCGTGAACAAACACACAGTAAATAGCCCGTTCATCAACCTGCACAGCGAGTGCCTTCATCACTACAGTCACCGCAAACAGATCTACTGTGTATGTGTATGTGTGTGTGTTACCGGGAGAGTAGCTCTGTATGTATAGGTACATGGGCAGGTGTAAATAAAACATGTTTATAAAAACCTTTTGGCCATATCATCAGTGGGACTTCTGTTCACATGCGGAAGCTGGATATTGGGCGTAGCAACGTGTTCGTATACACACTCACCTAAAAGTGTATCGAGCTCAGACAGAGTGACGCTGTTTACATACAGAAGCTGTTTTATAACGGACCACTGACCCAACTCACCTCGCCATGGTATCCCTGTTTGGACTGCAAGAGCATGCCATCCAGCGGTGGCTAAAGGGATAGTTCTGATTTATATTTATTTTGGTTAAGTGAGGATACTGACAAGTATTATGTTCAGTAAATGGCGGTCTGGTGGCCCGTTGTTGAAGAAGCTGGCCAGATTATGGAAACAGACATTAAGACTGCTCTTCTCTTGATGTAGACATCCTATTATTTCACTGATATAGGCATGGATGACAAAGATTCCCAATTGTTGCATTGGTGTAAACATCGTTAAAAAAACATCACCATGGCAAGATTGTAAACTGCATGAATGGTTTCTTAAGTCTTAGTGTTGACCCCTATGTCGCTCCTTACACACTCTAAAATATGAATGAACGTTGGTCTTTAACAAATAAAAGTTTTCCCAAAATACACTGTTTCCTTATTCAAAAAGTCCGTACAGTAGCGTTTTAATCAATTTGTAGAAAATGGTACAAATACAAAAATTAGATAATGAAAACAAAAACATGTGAATATATGTAATGAGACAATGTTTCTTCTTTTCCCACAACGGATGTAAACAAGAGCGTTTAAATACTACAGTAATACAGATAACTTTTCTTTATCACAAACTATTCTCCTCAACACAGAGAAAAGTTAAGAGACGCATTATACTTTATAAAGTGGGATAAACAAGCATTTCAGTCAACGAACAAACACTTTAGTATATTTCACAGTATCGGAGAGACAGAATGATTGCTTGGTGTGGCGACACAGTGAGTGAGATTTTATAGGGAAATTAAAAAGAAACATTCTTCTCTGCTTTAATCGTCAGAGTGCCCTTCAGCAAGGCACTTAACACAAAAGCTACAGATGTGGTTTGAAGCTTAGAGCTTTGAAGTTTGACTATAATGGGCATGGTTTGAAAAAAAGGTCTTGAATTAGTACATAGTAGATGAAGGATGTAGGCAAGGTTTGAGAGTATTCCAAGCATAAAGATTTTTCTGTCTGAAATCTCCTCTAAGTTTATAATGAATCATCTGTTAATTAATGTCAGTGCTGGTGGTTCACAAAGTCTGAGCTGTTTTGCAAAATGTTAAGAAATATCTTAACTGTTCCCTAGAATTAAATGATTGTACATAAAAGTACAGGAAGGTGTTTTCCTTTTCTGCAGACTGTCATTGTGGTTGGGACAAGATCACAGCTAGTATCAATGAAGTGGATCAAAGCGGTATGACGTTATAACAGCTTGTCGGAAAAAGGTGAAATGCCCAATGTCTATATATGTGCTAACTAATTCTGCTGTGACTGAATAAGAGAAACATCTTCTGATTCCAGATTCCAAAAACTTGTAGATTCAAAAAAGATGTATTAGCAGCATATTAATGCCCATGGATTCAGATGTACTTAGTTTAAAAGATGTTATCAGCTACGTTCTTTTTGAAGTGGAGGAACAAACTGGCTAACCGCTAAATTGCTTCCAGGAAACATCTAAAGTGAACCTCTCAACCAGTGAGCTTTGTAAATTGTTCGTTTTCTATGGTGTTGAGCAAAAAAGTATCTATCGATAACAGTAAACGCTAAATTTCAGATGCGCAGGGGGGAACCCAAAACCACGCACACCAGGATCTGGTGGGCCGCAGTTTGCCCGGGGCACCGTTATGGGATAACGGACACTACCATCAGCTAACCAGCCGGCATCACAGCGGTCCAATCCCATCAGCCTCCAGGCGGCGTAAAGCTGGCCCACTCTGGCAATTTGACTTCCATCTCTGACACAGGCCTCGACTGCTTCTGTGAAGTTGAGCTTGGTGGGGTGCTTTAAGAAGTACACAGTCCCTGAAGGAGAAGGAAAAGGTTTGAAATAGTTGAGTTACAAATATGATATACTCATAAAAACATCCACAACAATCTCAGTAAAAATAAATGTTCAAAATATTAGATATCCTACATTAAAAATAGCTAGCTTAAATGTTTTTATCAATAATTCCTAAAGTGTGGGTTGAAGGTCCTGCAGGTAAGTCACCACTCATTTACAATAAACAAAGGAAGATATAATTATTTTTTTTATTTACTAATCTCTTTTTAAATTATTGCCTTTTATATTTTTTTACATTCTAACATAAACAAAACATAAAATGTACAGTTATGCGACTTACCTCACTTAGTAGAAGAGAAATGATAAATAATAATAACATGACAAGGAAAAATAAATTAGATCACAATACCTCACAGTCACATGGTTGCTACATAAATGTACTATATTTTCTCTTTTGTTTCTTTACAAATGTATCCTGTGCATTGATCAATTATTAACTTATATATTTATATAAAAAAATATATAAATATATATATTTATATATTTTTTTAATTAAATAAATATTAATCGCGAGCTACTTCACTGGTTACCACTTTTTATTTTATGAATTTCCTAATGAATATCTGAGCTTACCAATACAACAATTACACCTAATATCAGATTTGGTTTAAGACTGGTTTCTTATTATTTTTAGATGCTTACTATAAAGTCCATAAATCCTTAAATTACATTGTAATGAAGGAAAAGGAGAACTTTGGTATCCAGTGGATATCAGTGTTGTGTTTGTCTTTTCTTTTCGTTTTCTTCCTCTCTCTCTCTCTCTCTCTCTCTCTCTCAGGTGCTGCTCCTTGCCTCGCTGCAGCTACTGATCGAGCACACCTGTGCCCACTCTGCAATCAGTGGGCAGCATATGAAGAGCAAGGGGGAGCTGGCAGTCAGGGTCAGCTGACCATTTGGTGGCGTGCTACTCTACCAGCTTGTAGAAGTTGTACTCCCTCTGCCAAAGGAGGGTGTTCTGATTTTGTCAAGAAATTATTTTATAATTTGCTTATACTAGGTTCCTCCTTCTTTTCCTTGAGTTTTATATTATTGTTACTCCCCTCATCCCCTAGTCATCCCGGGGAACATAACAGACATAAACTCATACTGACCTTTAATGGACGCAGAAAAGCAGAAAGCATCGTAGCGGTGGAGCAGACGATGTCGTTGTCCATAGCTGCGTAAACCAGGTGCCAAATTGTTTCCCCCACAGCCGTCACGTGGGACAATGATTGGATACTGCACTGTTCCATCAGCCAACCAGCCCGCGTTACACCAATCCAACCCCTCCTCCCACGCTGTGAAGAGCTGCTCGAATGTAGCCAGGGTGGCATCCTGATCCTGACATGCTTGTTGGGCCCCAAAGAAATTAAAATGGTAGCGTCCTTTCTGAGAAAAGTAAGGGAACACCACACCTGTACAGAGGAAGTTTTAACAGGTTGTTATAATGTTTTTATCATCATACTCATCATAAACATGGTGGCTCTTTTACAGTACCTGGTGCCATACTGTGTGTGGGTTAACATTTTGAAGTCCCCACCATGTAATAAAAACAAACACACAGACACATTTTGGACCATATACTGTAAGTGGTTTACTACATGGTGGTCTCAACCATGTCATAATAAAACTCCACACACACACACATTTTGGACCCCATATTGTGAGTGGCTGAACATACTGCAGTCCCCACTATGTAATAAAAACACACACACACTCTCCTCACCCCGCAGCTCCAGATCCACTGTCACACTCTCGTCCTCCAGGCCGTCAATCACCTCACAGCGGTACCTGCCCGTGTCATTGAGTTGCAGCTCATTGATCACCAGCGACATGTCCCCTGGCACTGAACGTCGCAGGCGGACGCGACCCTTGAAGCTGCCGTAGCTGCGTTGACGTTTACCCATGGCAACCATGACCTCAGTTTCCCTGGCGGTCGCTACAGGGAACACAGGTTCACTGATAGTGTTGGCTGGAATCCAGGACCATTTGACACGTGTCCTGCGTGGTGTGTTTGGCTCAGGCTCGTAGTGAAAGTGACAAGGAAGGATGACACTGCTCCCCCTGGAGGCCGACACGGCAAGCTGCGGGGATTCCACGTGGAGACGGACACCATTGAAAAAGACTAAACAAGACAACAAAAACACAAAAAGAGTCAAGCAGTGGAAGCTTAACTTTGTTCTGCATATTTTGTAATCATGGGGTTATATATGCAACATAATCAAAGAGGGGTTGCTGTTGTACTGAATATCAGCACACTTTGACTTGACTGAAGGAAACTTGCTAACATTCACTATAAGCAAGTGAGATATTGCTTTTATACCACAGTACCACAAGCGGAATATAAACAGTAATAGTCTACTACAAATTGTCATTTTCTATTTAGTTCATCCCTCATTTTTTCTGTCTACACATCTAGTTTTATTAAGCGACATATTAACACTTTCCCACACTCCTCCAATGTTGGGTCATATTAAACAACACAACTGAAGGATTCTTGTTTTGTATCATGTCTTTCCTTTTTTCCGGCTGTGGCTCAGTTGGTAGAGTCTGTCATCTCAACCAGAAGGTCGGGGGTTCGATCGCCAGCTCCTGCAGCCACATGTCCGATGTGTCCTTGGGCAAGACACTTAAACCCTGAATAGCTCCCGCTGCTTTGTTTTCCCTCACTCTTGTGGGGCTTTATCGCAATGTGTTTTACAAAATGCAATGTTTTCTTTTGTTTTGTCCGGCTGTTGTCAGGGATTAGAAAGTTACGCTTGTTATGTTGTACATGAGGAATTCCCCCTTTGTTCACTGAAAACATTTTGAGTTTGTTTTCCACTATTTATTTTGAGCATTTTTTATACAATTTTCAAACTACTAATTGCAGTGAATTCTGCCCATCAAGAAGCCCACTCAACAACTTAAATCGAAAAGTAAGATAAGTTTGCACGCTGACGTGTTGAAAGTAATATAAAGATTTTACTCAAGTGTACAATTTGCAGTTTTTCCTCAGCTTTAGGATCTAAATGTTCTTCAACCCAAAAGTATATACTGTACTTTAGACTCCAATGTGTTTGATTTTTTTTTTTTTGCAAACACAGATTTACAGTACAAAGTACAGCAAACAAAAAGCCGTGATGCATTATAACAGGGTTACAAGGTGTAACTATTGATCCACAATTTGTTACCAGTAGATGGACAAGTTAACTTTAGATCCCATTTTACAAGTGAAGTACAAATACTGCTTTGCTTGTCTTTGCTTGTTCAAATCCTATGATAAAATGTGATTCTCTGAAAATGGGAAATTGCTGCACGATGGGTTATTTTGCTTCAGGTATGCTCTTACATAGAGTTTAGTTTGGCACTAATATCCTACATTTTAATTTTGAATTTAAGTAACTTTTTTTTTCTTGCAAGCGGATTAAAGAAAGACTTTGTTGAAGGTGTAGGATGGTAAAGCTACTTCAATACACACACACACACACACACACACACACACACACACACACACAATACCTACTCTCTCCGTTGCCGTTGCCGTTGCTGATGTCATGGTAGTGAAAGCCGTTGTTGTAGTTGGGGAACCTGCCGTGAGCACCGGGCAGCAGCAGGTACAGGAAGACGGCCAGCAGGTGGCGCAGTAGACTCAGCATGATGCTGTCCTCTGCGGGTCAAAATAAATACTGAGCTCTTTATTGTAGCCTACTCAACTGTCATAAATACCAGCAGGAGGGGAGGGGGCGAGGTGAAATCACAGACTGGAAAGTCCATTGTTTGGATAGAAAGCAAGATGAAATTAAAGCTCGGAATAGTTTGATGGGCTACAGGAGCTAAAAAATAGTAAAAATTCACAAATTAGTCCAAAAGAAATCCGATAGGCAACCACTTTTAATAGAGAAGTCATGATAATCAAACCTTAACAACAATAAAACAGCTTTTATTCATAAAGTAATAAAGTGTCCTTTCAGGAATTACAAAAGGCCTACAAACTATTATAATAGCCTAAAGATGAACGTTTTCCCTCATCTAAATCATACGAACAAAGTTGAACATGTGCGTTTATTATTATTTTCTCGCAGTTTTCTCGTCTGCCTCTTTCGCTGAAATTATCGAATTAACTCAAACATTTGTAATAAATATCGCGTTATTTCAATGTCTTATTTAGGGGTTCTGCAGCCTTATGATGTATTTTTCAATCTAAGTGTCACTTCAGCGCTCTGTTTATACCATCGCTCTAAAATTAAACTGCAAACCCTACATGAAACATGATATTTAAGTGAACGTGGCTGTTCTTAAACAGCCACGTGAATGTTTGATATTCACGAAGGGAAATTAAAAAAAACCACACACACATGAAGTCTTTCAAAAGTCACTCACAGAGAAGCAGTCGTCCGCCCGGCGTGTCTTCAGCTCATCCCCTCCTCATCCTCTGCCGTGTCTACGCTGACCGGACCGTCCCGGAGCAGCTCAGAGGTGCGCGCTTGGTGACGTCACGATGTTGAAGTGAACGGAGCTCCGAACGATGACGCACTCATGCACGAGCCCATCCAACACATAAACCAGTGCAGGTACAGATACATCAACTGACCCGGGAGAGTATGAAGAGCCTCTTTTTTAATTTAATACAAGGCAATTTACAAAGCAAAGATATTTATAATGGAAGGATTTAGAGAACAAAGGTCGAACCATGAAACAAAATTCAGATGTTGATGTGCTCCTCAGGTGTGTTCCTCTTGTGTTTTGGAGCTCTACAGTTTCCACCCTGATGTAGAGCATTTCCTGTCGGAGAAACAGATCTAAAATATGAAATATAAATAAAGGTTTTAACTGAGATAACTGAGATTCTGATACTCCATCTCCCCATCTTGCTCACAGATGCAGCATGGATTCTGTTTGCATCATCGTTTAAAGTTAACGGGGGTCAGGGCAGGGCAGTTGATCCTTCCCTTGACCTTTTCTCATCTCATTAAAATGGGTCAAATATGACAAATATCCTATTTTTTCTTCCAGCTATTGTTTACAACATGCAGCAACAACACAAAGCTATTTCTGTGCAGTATAATGTGCATGCTGTCCAAGGTGAAAATCTTTGTTTTACATTAGCAGCTAAACCCCAGCTGTAAGTCAATTTAACAGCTGGGTTTAAATCCCATTAAGAGTTTACAATGCAGGTGTATTTTACTGCCTTCTCTCAGGGCGAGGCAACCAAGCCTGATCTGACCAGGACCCTGGATATTTGAAAGAAACTCCCTCACTCCCTCACTTCTATCTTCCTGCTCAGGTGATCAGCTGATTATGAGCGTTAATGCTTTAATTACTTAACCAACCAGATTCTGACATGACCTCTATTAACAATCATTCTGCAGCTGTAATATTTTAAAATACGAGGGGTAGGCCTATATATCCTGCTGTTGGCCTTGTTACTCCTACAAGTACCTGAAGGCATCACGATGGAGTCACATTTCTCCTCTTCTACACTTGTAAATTGAATAATTGTTCACTCATAATTAAGTTCCCTGATTTCATTTTTTCTAAGTAAATTGGTTTGGGAGGGAAGACATACAGCAAAGGGCCAAAGCCGGGATTTGTGCCAGCGACAATTTGCCACCTTAGCTAGCTAACAATTCACCTGCAGCAAAAATCAAATATTAGCAAACAAACAAAAGAGAAACATTGTTTTTTTTATGACTTCATTAACACATCCTTTTCGTTTTCAAGGTAAAACCATCTTTAAGATTGGGATGGTCTGATTTTTAAAGCCGTGACACATTAACAACTGACATGGGATAGAACCAATCACAAAAAAGAATGCGGGACATAACGTTTGGATTAATTTGATTGGATCGTTGGCTTCGACAAAGCTTTTTAATAAGTAGAAAATGAGTAAACACCCCTGATTGCAGGATGAGTCATCACACATTTGAAACGCTTTACAGGAAAATTAAGAGTTGCTTTGCTGTAAAATTACTCAGATAAAGCTTTATTGAAGATATTTGGCAGATAAATTAACATTTAACACAGGAAAAGTGGATTTACACTGGGAAAATGTATTTTTCATTTCATGCTCAACTTAAAGTGTAAAAGCTGTTCATGTCTTCTTAGAGCCAAGCGTTTCTAAAAGCTGCCAACTCCCGTCTTCCTGGTATGTTGATGCTGACAGAGCAGATTTCACACCTCGGTTTGGCCATGGCCTCCAGTAACACAGCAAATATTGTCACATGAACTCATATTTCAGTCATTCGCTGAAATAAAAGCAGCCATGGTGAAAAACAAGACCAATGCCAGTTCTCCACTGGGGCCTGAGAGAATGTGCTGCTCATGATTATCTGGCTGAAGGTTATTTATCAACGTACAGATGGAAGCTAACCTCCTGACATGGGCATATAGTCGATGTCAGGACCCCGAAAGATCTGCAGCACTGAAGTCTTCTGAAGTCCACAGTCTCTCTGAATCCTGCACGCTATGCTTTCCTCTGTGGTCAGCCCTTTACAGCCACTGATGTTCTTTTTGTGTGACTTGACTGACACCAAGCCGTCATGACAAAAACCCAAGACCACTACAATTTACGCAGGATGTGGGGATGTGCTGGTTGGTTTGAGGATGTTGAGAGAAAAGCTGCTCTCGAAGCCACAGGAGGAGAACCGGGATGTCAAAGGTTCCATTTTTAATCACTGTTGTGGTGAACAGTCAAGGCCAGCTTGTATCCTGGTTGCATAATTTGTTTGTAAACAGCATTCCAAAATGTCTGAAAGCATACTCATAGTTATTGAGAAAGGAAAAGTTCTGCATTAAAATGAAAATCAAGTGCTGACTCCCTTCCAAAGAGAAAGTGGTTCTGTAAACCCTTACAGACAATAGCTTTCTGGTTTGGGGCCTGTGTCCATTTCTCTGCTCTGGTTCAGATCGCTTTTAAAAATGTCACCAAGAAAATATGAAAACAATGTAATGGAATCCTGTCCTGGCAACAGCAGCAGCTCTAGATCTGGAAATTATACCCTAGAAAGACGAGCCCAACGCTGCTTAATAAGATCGGAGAGTGCACTGCAGGTCATGTTAGCTCGGCAGACCAAGGAGGAGACACTCCATACAGCCGGCTTGATTTAAAACACCGCCTGCTGCACGAGCTGTAAGCCGAACTAAAGACTCATAGACAGGTTTGTTGGAGGCGACATGTTTAATATCAACGGATGAGTCTGTTGCCTTCAGAGATTTAATCGGTAAAATACCCACAAACTGAAAATGACTTCAGTGTAATTAGAAATGTCCGAGTTGTTGTTCTGCCACAGCAACACTTAATAATCTCAACATTAATACGAGCATTGGCGCAAATAATGTACAGTAACGTTAAAGCAATACCTCAGTTTGTAATTCAGTAACTATTTACTATTTTTCAGTAACCTGTCCAACACTGGTGGTAAGTGACATTGACGAACACAGAGCTGTTACAAAAGTTCAACTTTTTCAAATGAGAGTGCTGGGAACACCGGGACAAAAACCCACACTAAATTGGTTTTGTATTGAAAATGGGCACTGCCAGCTCAAATGAACGACATGAACGGCCTGTAGGAATGAGAGAAAAACATTTTACAAGATATGGAACTTTTACCGAGTCAGCTGCATGTGGCAAAACAGCCTTGTTATTTAACCCTGAATCTAACCAGTCCCTTTGTACAATTATTTTTTGAAGACAGGGTGAGCCGATGTGGGAACGCAGCAGGAAATATTCAGGAAAATGGTGGGAGGGGATGATGACATTTACATCATGCAACATTCAGTAAAACATGATGTCCTCTCCTTTCATGTGTGAAAAAGGCTACAGTTTAGTCTGACTATATATACAAGGTGGGTGACAAGTTACCCTATCCCTGTTAATGTTCATTTAGTCGATTTATTTAGTTTTCTTTGCAGGTTTCTTTTTTTCATTTTGATCTTTTTATTGTCTTTTGTCCAGTCAACATTGTATTAACATTTATTGTACTGTTAGTTGTTGTCCTTTTAATTTCTATACATTTAAACAGCTTATGTTTGTTAACGTTAGAACTCAAGAAATACAAATTAAGCAAAAAAAAACAGCTGAAGTTCCGTTTTACGTCTTTCTTATTCCACTGAACAATGTTGTCATGTAGCTCTCAGTCTGCACATATAACCGCCATGCAGTGAGATAGCATATGCTAACAGCAGTATAGTGGGTTGGCTTGCTAACATGTCTTTTCTCTTCATCATCCTAAAACCCACAACCACAGTCAGTCAGTCAGCCGAACACTGAAGCTATAAACACCAAACTTATCCTCCTTCTACAATGGGAAGTTTTATTGTCTTCCTTAAAAAACGTCCTCAGTTCAATATTTAGATGATGATGTGATGATTCACATTACAGTCACATTATAATGAAACATTACGACCAGATTAGTCACATAAAGAGGAAACATTTACTCATTTAAATCATCTTCTGTGGAGGTCTGGGTTAAAGGTTTTGAATATTTTCATCCTCTTTTTTCCTCAGTAACGCTGAAACTATGAATTGAAATTAATTCTTTTTAAGTCATGTTTTCCATCTCTCTCCACTTCCTGGCTCGCCTTCATTAACATCTAAAAGATGTGCTTTGAAACCAAATATCTCCGATGGTTCAGACAGTGGCCTGCTTCCTCCACTGGGATTTCCTTTTAAGCCACTTTGGTGTCGTCAAAAAGACGTTTGGAATTCTCTCTTTGCTTCCTTGAAGCACAGTTCTGTGAACACATCACCTCGTTCTATACCACTGCTGATTGCAATTTCTGATCGATTTGTTGTTCAAGCAGTTTTCTACCTCTTGAGCTGCTCTCTCGACCGGAGGAACTTTCCCCCAGAACTGGGGTCTTTTTGAAGAACTACGTGCATTTCGACCGAATCTACCAGGGTATGAATTTAGTTCTGGGGTAAATAATCTACCCCGAAGACAGAATCTGCTCGGGGGTAGTACTTTCCAAAGGTCCAGGGACATTTGGGGCAGCGCCTGCAGCACTGAACATCTCTGATTGGTCAGGCTCTCGTAGCGTTAGGTAACGTCTGATTGGCCAGGCACTAGTAGAGTTAGCGCCATGTTTAACAACTGCAGCTGCAAGACCTTTGTTTAAATGTTCTCATCGTGATGCAAATCAATGTGTTTAAAGATGGACTCTGAGAAAAAGACGTATGACAAGTGGACCCCCAACGAGGTGCTGGCCTTTCTGACCATATGTGCTGAAGACAACATGCAGCGGGTGTTGGAGACGGCGACCCTTAATGACAAACTTAACATGAAAAAAACATTTATAGATTCATTTATTTTGGTTTAGAATGAAAAGTCATTGATTTCTAAAGCACTTTCTGAATAATTAAAAAGGGACTTCATATTAATCTGACTGCTTGTCTCCATTGATGAAAATGTAGACATGTGCATCGATGTGCATAATGATATTGAATTGAATGAAATTGAACGGATGC